ACTATTTGTCTGAGCGTCTGAAACAGTAGACACTAACCACACACGTGGCTAGTGAGCACTTGAAATGTGGCTAGTACAACTAAAAAAGAAAAAAGAAAAAAGAAACAAAACCCTGAATTGTCAATTGCACTTCATTTTAAACTGAAATACCCACCTATGGCTAGCGGCTCCTGTTCTAGGGCAGAGCAGCTCTACACCCTGGACATAAAACTTAAAGGAGTTTATTTCTCGGGAAAGTACTAACAACGGGCTTAGGTTAGCTCCGAACCTGAGCAACAGCTGGATGGCCCATAGAATCCTAGTGAGGAAAAAGGTCAAACAGTTTCGTCCGAGATCTGAAGGAAGGGCACAGCCAGGGAGCTGGCAAGTAGTTTAAACTTTCACACGTATGCACCAGTCTCACACCTTCTGATTTTTAATGGCCCTCAACATGCAGGCTGCGTGACAGGAGGCAGAGGGCCACGGATGGAGCCTTGCTGCTCCAAGTGTCCGCCACCGACCGACAGCATCGCCATCATTCAGATGCAGACTCACTAGCTGGACTCCCAACCCACTGAGTCAGAATCTGCATTTTAACAAGAACTCCAGTGACTCAAATGCACATTCAACTGTGAGAAGCAGTTGCTGTGGAAAGGCTTTGGAGCCGGGCAGGTCTGGGTTCAAATCCCAACTCTACCACTTACCTGAGTGAGTCTTGGGCCTCAATTTTCTCACCTAAAAAAGAGGGTAATACTGCTTACTTCGAAAGGTTATTGTGAAGATTCAGTGAGTCATTGTATAAAAAGATACTAGCATGAGGTCTGGTTTATGTTGGACGATCGATCAATCATTTATTTAACAAGTCATTACTGACTGCCTAGTATAATCCAAGCACCTTTCCCGTCTTATGTTTAAAACCCTTTCCCAGAAAACAAACAAACAAACAAACAACAACAACAACAAAAGCCCTTGGGAAAAAGGGGAAAAGAATGTTTTACTGGGGATGGAAAGGAAAGAAACAAGAAAAGGTTCCTCTCTAGCAGTTTCAACACTGTACCACGAACAACTCTCCTTTACAGGGTGCCCAGACCCCCTAGGGTCCTTACTGGGTTCGCAAAGATCGGGGCGCCTAGCACAGTCCTCAGGCGTGCCACTAGGGGGTAGAAGAATGGGGAGGGGAGAATAAGAGAAAGTCAGGGAATTAGACAAATAGGAAAAGTCCGTTATGGTTTTACCAACAAACAAAAAGCAATTGGAGCTGTCTCAAAAAATTAAGGACAAACTGTTAACTGCCCAGATTTTCTTTCACTCGTTTCCTTAAAAAAGCAGCAGCAGCAGCAGTTCTCACTGGAGGTCCCACTGGTTGGAAAGGGAAGGCGAGGGGTGTTCTCTCCCGCTGCCCCGCCACCCCTGCGGAAAGGGTTTCTCACCCAAGCCAGTAGGTGTTAATCTGCTTAAGCCTGCCTGAGTGCGTCTGTGAGGTTGCTGGCACACGGCCATTTAGGGGTTTTGTTTCTCAGACCACAGGAGCCCATTTTTCCAGGAGTTCCACTGGCTTTTTGTTTGATAACGTCTGTTTCTAGCAGCATTCGCTCCTTCAACAACAAATTCAATGGGACAGAAATTTACTGAACACCTACTATTTGCCAGCCCCCTCTGTTGGGGATACAGGGATGAATAAGGAGCTCACGCAAAAGTAACTTCTGCATCCTCTCGGGTGATGGCGGTTATTACTGCATTGTCCTGCCGCTTGGAGTGGGAGGGGGGGCGTACGGGACAGAGAAAATCCTTGGCTTCCTTAGCGGCCCCCTTTCAGTCCCCACTGACCTCCCTGTGCTCTCCTGAGGTTCCAGGGGCTTCGAGGGTTAATTGCTTGCTGGCCGTGACTGGTTCATTGTTCTTCCCACCCCCTTCCAGTTTTGCTTAATATAGTTTAATGTTTTTCTCTTCACAGAGGCAAGATCCCTTCATTGTAGAAAAATACAGATAAGCAAAAAAGAAGGAAAAGTTTTTTGTTTTTTTAAAGATTTTATTTATTTATTTTTAGAGAGGGAAGGGAAGGAGAAAGAGAGAGAGAGAGAGAAACATCAATGTGCGGTTGCTGGGGGCCATGGCCTGCAACCCAGGCATGTGCCCTGACTGGGAATTGAACCTGCGACAGTTTGGTTCGCAGCCCACGCTCAATCCACTGAGCTACGCCAGCCGGGGTCAGAAGGAAAAGTTTTAAACCATCCTCCGTTCTACCACCTAGAGACAACCGGGTTTAATAAAAAGGCTAGTTTCAAAATTATAACAGTAACTTCACATGCAGCTCAAAATACAGAGGAGGGCCATCACATAAAATCCAGTCACCTGGGACATGATCCTTGGGGAGGGGGGTTTCCTTCCAGTCTTCTTGCAGTTGTTACAGATAATGCCAGGGGCGGGGGGGGGGGAGCATGGGGTAAATGTGCAAACTAGGAAGGGGGCCATTTAGCCATGCTGGTGGGTAAGCAGCAGTCACTTTACAGAAAAACCTGTGTAGAACTTTGTTGTCGGTAGCTAGATTACCATTGCTACTCAAATATTTCGTCCTTGGTGACAGAATCTGACTCAAGAAACTTGTCTTTCTTCCTTGGAATCTGAAAGGGGAAATCTAGAAGTTTCTACTTTAAGCGGGTATGATAGAAGAACGCCCAAATTCATGATGAAGAGTGCTTGAGTATCATTGAAAGCTATATATCTCTTTGATATATGTTATCTCAGTGAATTCTCACACTAGTCCTTCAAGGTAGATATTATTGTCCCTGTTTCAGAGATGAGGAGACAAAGGCTCATAAAGCTTAAGTGGCTTGCCCGGGGATCCTACCTGCACTCCACAGCAGCACTAGGACCCAGAGTGAGGAGACGTTATGGTAGAGTGTAAGTGGGGACAGTGTGGGGGACCAGGGTTCAGAGCCCCACTGGGCCACCCCCTCACTCTGGGACCTTGGGCAAGTTGTTTGACACGCTGTGTTTCCCCGGACTGGATTTTCCTGTGACACCAGTAGCCCAGAGTTAGTGGCAGTGTTGACATAGTGACAGTCTTAAGGACCAGACGTGGAGCCCATGGTCAGGGTGGTGTCAAGGACCCTGTCAAACAGTTCAAGGCTGCCCCTTTACGAGAGCATCTGAAGGAAATTCCTGTTTGTTCTGAATGCCAAGGGCAGCAGGCTCCCGGGCGATTTGTCTCCTATCTCATGGCCCCTAACTGGTCAGGCTTCCCTTTCAGCGCTGGCTCCTGGAAAACTCTGAGCCACGTACAAGGCTTGCCTGGAAAGAATTTATACCTTTAGAGTATGGACCTTCCTCGAATTCCTGCTTGCATGTTTTGCTCCAGTTTTGTTTTCATTTCTTCTCCCACTGCCCGGGGATGGCATTCCCATCAGGAGTGTCTGTCGTGCACTCGGCGCAGCGCCTGGTCCGTATGAGATGCTCAGTCTGTGGCGTCTCCTTTCATGCTCTGCGACTGCATTTGTGTCAGTTCACAAAAAAAGGCATTCAAACAGATTCTCCAATCTGTACAAGGGTTCAATAGGAAGTTCTCTTCAGAATAAACGCATGTATTTAAGTAGGATGCTACCTCCACAATGCTGCATTGGTATTCCTTGCTGGGTCTCTGTCACGGAGCCGGCACGGGGCCGACCCACCGGCTGCCCCCTCCTCCCGCTCTGGGCCAACACAGCTGCTCGCCTGTGCTGTGTGCAAGTGTCTGGGATGGAATGGACTGGATTTTAAAAATGAAAACCTTTTCTTTATCTTTCCAGAGGAATTTTAAGATAGAAATGATCTGCTGCAGAATATACAGGGTTGGAGAACCTAGTTTTCTCTTCTTAAAACAGGCCTCCCTTAACCAATTCTTTAAGTTTTCATTTGCCTACAAGGGGGCAGTTGAGTCCTTATTCCCTCTACTTTCTAAAATAGGTTTGATTATTTCCACTATGTCAACATTCTAGAATTTATCAGAAATTAAGTTAATGAGTTTATTGTCAAGTTATTATGAGTTTATTAAACAACATAAGCTTATTTATTATTATTAGTGATTTCTTAAATTGCCATTTTTCATTCTAACCATCTCATAAAATTCTTAAGCATCTTGAGTGCTTTTGATTTTGTCAATTTCTTTTCTCAGTCCCAGCACCTTCAAGGCTTCCAATTAAAAAGTAAATTAGTGGCATTAATAATATGTATGGAATAGGTCACGGTTAAGGCCACTGTCTTATAATCTTCAAAAAGACCTGGACAAGCAGTGCCCAATAATCTACTTATGTTTGCTTAAGGCAATTTGTTGGATCCTTAACACCTATTGAGTGTGAAGTTATTTTTCTAGGCTTGTCTGGGCTACATTGCCCAAGCTTTCTTTCCTTCTCAGTGCTCCCCTCCCCTCCCCTCCCCTCCCTTTCCCTTCCCATTCCATTCCATTCCATTTCTTCCTTTTAACAACTTTATTGAAAGTCTTTTGGCCTCCAGGCTCTGTGCTAAACACTGGGGGCAAAATAGACAAGATCCAATGTTGGGCAACATAGACAATGCCCCTGCCCCCATGGAGTTCGCAGTCCATCGGGGGTGGGGGTAGGCATTAATCAAATCACATTCATTAACTGATTAAGATGACAAACTGTGGTAGGCACCATCAATTGTGATTAGGATGACAACTGTGGTAGGCAGTGTGGGATTGGACCCCATCTGGGGTTAGGAGATAGCTTTTCTAAATTGACGTATGAAGAATGCATGGGTACCAAGGGGAATGCGAGGGTTCCGGGCCGCAGAAACAACGTGTGCAAAGGCCCTGTGGTGCTGGGAATCGTGGTACTTTGGAAAGATAGATACTATGGCTGAATGTAGAGGATGCTTCTGGTGAGGTCAGCAGGGCCAGAGGCCCATGCTTTGTAAAGACTTTGGCTTTCAGCTTAAAAGCAATGGGAGCCACTGAAATGTTTAAGGAAGAGCTGGAGGCACGAGAGCTGTACTAGGGACTGACGCATCTTGATTTTTCTCTGTAGGAGCGATGCAGTCATACACGTGGTCTCTAACGTACACAGTGACTACGGCGGCGGGGTCCCCAGCTGAAAACTCCCAACAGCTCCCCTGTATGAGGAGCACCCATGTGCCTTCTTCCTCGGTCACACACAGGATACCAGTTTATCCTCACAGAGAGGAGCATGGGTAGGTGACTTGCTTTTCAACATGATTTTAAAGAGCAGAGCTTAGTTGGTGGTTGTTTTCTCAAAGGACAGGGGGAGGAGTGCCAGCATCCGTTGAGTTCTCGCAGTGTGCGCAGCGCCACACTGGGTGGGATTGTCTTGCACAGCTCCTGCTACGGCTGGGCGAGGCGGGTGTCAGCGACCCCACTTTATAGGTGAGGAGACTGAGAGACATGGTTGATGGAGCTCAGCTCCTCTAAGTCCCGCAGCTGGTAAACGTGGGGTCCAGACTGAGCATCCGCCTGCCTCCAAAGCCTGTGTTTTTCCCTCTTCACTCCTCTAAAGTCTCCGCTGAAAACATCCATTCAGCTTTTCCCCTCGGTGGCTCCTATGCACTTGGTAGCTGTATACAGCTTCGCGGTAGGTCCCAGTCTTTTACGGCTGCTTAGAGGAAGGCTTCCCCACTTGAGAGCTGGAGGACCCTGGAGGGCGTTCATTTTGAATGGGGGTCAGGGAATCCCTGTGGGTTCCAATGGTGCTTTGGACCCTGAATAAATAAATCCTTCATTTTGCCTACATTATACAGTGATGTTGCCGCGATGAGTGAACTACACATCACTTAAAAGTGTTACCTGAATCACAGTAGCTTTTTGCCAGTATGCATTGTCTTTATCGAAAGATACAGATCTTACGATGTCTAATGTGCAGTAACTTTGAAAACGCTTATGATGTTAAAAAGGGCCCTTCATCTCAAGAAGCTGAGACTCTGCTGTGTGGGTGCAGTGAGCCTCACAAGCCAGGTCCCCACACACCAGCCCCGGGGCACCTGGGAGGAGCAGCTGAAGGAAGAGGAGCTCTTAGGTCCCTTCCTTATGGCGGCCCTGAGGGTGGGCGCAGGCCTGAGTTATCTCCACTGGTCCAGGTACCTCAGCAGTGCACCCATTATTTTTGCAGGGGGCTCTTAGAGTATTTCCCCACACATTTAGAATAGACGTTGAAAATCATTTCAGAGCGCTTTTCGATTCTGCAGGAATGGCAGAATAAACACCCATGTGGTCATATGCCAGCATCTTTGCTGTAAAGTTGAGAACAGCGACGAGCAGACCCCGTGTGTCCACAGGACTTCCTTTTGCATAGCGTGTCTTCACCCACGTGACCCTCCGAATAAGCACGTGCAGCACGTTTACAGGTGGCAGAAACGAGCAGCCCGAGGCCCCAGGGCGGGGAAAAGGGGTGGAGCCAGGCTCGGAGGCGGAGGTGGGCTCGCTGACACCTGGTTGACCCGAGCCGTGGCATCTTCTCCGAGGAGAAGGCACCGCACCCTTCCCCATCGTGGGGAAGCCGAGGCCTGAACAAGACAAAACCATAGATCTCAAAGTAACTTGTTTGTTTTCCTATTTGACTTCAGGCGATAATATTGACCTTTTAACACAACAGGAGTAGAGGCTTCCATCACTAATTGTGTTCAGCTCAGAGCTGGCTTTTGTCCCCTGAGCGCTGGCTGGGCGGTAAGGGAGATGCACCGAGGGGAGGGGAAAGTCAGCCTGGGAGTTCACACTTACCATAGCAAAGCCCCGGAGTGGAGATGGTAAGACTCAGGGGGAAAAAGGGGAAAAAATAACAGGAGAAAAAAAGGACACAAAGCAAACGAGGTTGATTTTTTTAAAGATGTCAAACTGATTTGTTCTCCCTGCTATTACTCATAATATTCAATGCGCTTAACGTGTTTCAGCTACACGGGAAGCTATAACTATGGGAGCTATGGCAACCAGCATCCTCCGCCAATGCAGAGCCAGTACCCGGCCCTTCCTCATGAGGCAGCGCTCTCTGGGCCGCTCCACTATGCCCCGTACCACAGGAGCTCTGCACAGGTGAGTTGATGGACCTGCTTGCTTGCCCAGGCCAGGTCTAGTCGATGCAACACAGTTACTAAGCACCTTCTGTATACTGTACATGCAGCCTGTGTGTCACCAAGGAGAGGATGGTCTTCTCCCCATTGTCACTTTGGTGCTTCAGTGGCTGCCCGCAATGGGTGTCAACCACATCCATGCTCCACTTCCACGCACATGGGTGCGAAGCAGTTGTCTGCAGATCTGCCCTCTCTTTGACCTCTCTGATCCCAGGATCCAATTGGCCGTGACATCTGTTGCCCTTTTTCAGGCAGCCCCCAGCAGACTGGGCCTTCGGTCCCCTTTCCCATCACTAGTCTCGTGTTTGCGGACCCTCCCCGAGTCCTGCCAGGACTGTCGTCTCGGCATCATTCCACATGGCATCTCCGTCTCCCATGTGTGTCCTTCTCAGTCCAGCCCACACACCCACTTTTACCAGAAGAGTCCTCCTGAAGTGGACCTTTCATCGTCCTCAGGCCACGCATGTCCTTGGGCCTCTCACTGTCTAACGAACCGCACCGATCCTCTGTGGCCTGGGTGAATGGAAACGGTGGTCGCACCTGTGATACCAGTGTTGGACACTCGAGTTGTCTTAGACACTGTGCTGTGCATTGGCCCCAGGCACAGCTGGTCACAATTCCATTCAATTCTGCATCTGCAGTGTCTCTGCAACCCTACTGTCCTTGCCTCAGCTCAGGTCATCATCTAACCTAGATGACGGCGGAAGCCTTCCCACGGGTCTGCATATCGCTAAACTTGTCTCACTTCTGTTCTCTCCCCTACACTGCAGCTAAAGGACGCTTGCTTTGGGGGAAAACCCAGCTGGTCATAATACTCTTTTTTGCATGTCGTCATTTTCAGAGTCGAGTTCAATTTCTTAGTGTGTCTCTCTAGACTCATTATCATCTGGCCTCTGCCTGCCTTTCTGGCCTATACATGACAGCCTCCCCCCATCCCCGAATCTTTGCTTCAGCTACACCAACCCACGTGCAGTCCGCCAGGTCTTCGCCGACATAGACGGTTTCCTCTGGCTTGGATTCTCTCTCCCAGCCCCTTCTGCTTGCGGTTCAGGACAAGCATCTCATGGTCTTTGTGGCGCTTCCTGACCCTGCCTCCTTCCTTCATCCAGGACTTTGTGAGGCTCCACTCCTCTGTCCTCGCACAGCACCCTGGGCTTTCCTCCACTGGTAACACTTCTCACACTGTTACCATCGCTGACTTTCCTGACTCCCACGGGAGACCCCAGAGCTCCTTGAAGGCAAAGTTAAGTCTAGCGCCCCCAGCTCATAGGACAAGAACACCAGAAAGAACAGTGTGTCGTGTGCTGAGTACTTTACGCCTCATCATGGCAACCCTTGCAGAAAAGAAAGAGTCACTTGCCCAAGGATTTGAACCCAGACAGTGGGTGACTAGCTGCCCAAGCTTTTAAGCACCGCCCTCTGTTGCCCCTCGTATATGGGCATTGTCGGAGCATTTATGGAGCAGATGAGCAAACAGGAGGTGGGGTCAGCATGAACAACAGTGTGGTGCGCCAAGGACGCCCACCTGGTTCTGCAGGCGTGGGAGCGGCGGGGGGTTTGTGAGCCTGGGAGTGGCAAGATGAGAGCTACGCTTAAGAAAGAGAGCCCTGGCAGCACCGGAAGCATGAACCAGAAAGGGCGCTGGTAGAGGCAGGACGTGAGCTAGGGCCGAGGCCGCGATTACATCAGCTGTCAGCACACAGACTGGCCTCGGAGGGAGGGCACCGAGGAGAATGTATCCACGATACTCGGCACTTGGGGCAAACAGGGCTCTGTTTTGATTTCCATCTGCAGTACCGGGGGGAGCCCTAGTATAATCCCCAGACAAGCCAAGAAGTTAATTCCACTAAATCACCCCCTGGGGCATTCATTATAGATCTCCAACTGCGTCACACAGAGATGCCACCTCCTTAGATACTGCTTCTCTCGGGAGAAGGGTCTGTGCTCCTCTCTGTGATCCGCCAAGTGACTTAGAGCTGTTGCTGCTGCTGTGGACTCGGTCACCCTTAACACAGCATCGACAGCTCATTCATTCACTCATTCACTCATTCATTCATTCACTCCTCAAACCACTGTCAGGTGCCTGCTGTGTAGCAGCCACTGCTGTAGCCTCTGAGAATACAGTGGAGAATGAGACAGCAACGTGCCTGCTGTGGGGGAGCTGACGCTCCAATGGGAGACACGAGACTGAACAGCAGTGGGGAGATGAAGCTAACACTCCAAGCCCCAGCACCCGACATTATCTGCCCCCTTCCTTCACTCCCTCGTAACCTCCTCATGAAATTTCTGCAGCTGGTTATCTGGGGGTAATATTTTTAAAGCCATTGCTGTATAACAAAATCCTGGGTCTCCCAAAGGCCACGTGGTCCCCGGTGATCTGCAGCATCTGCTCTAGAAACCACCGGAGTCCGCTATTGGAACGCCCCCATTTGAGAGTGGGCTTAATAGACAGAAGGGCCGAGAACCAAATGAAAGCCCAGGGAGGAGCCCTTTGAACCCAGACGATGTCTTCTTGTGAGGTGACAGGTCCGTGGCTGGTCTCTTCCCCACCGTGCCCTGTGGCCCTCGGACAAAGGCTCGGACAACCTCTGACCCCACCACACACACACACTCACACTCACACTCTGTACTCCGCAGTCTCCATTTAGAAAGCGGGGTGGGGAGAAGTTAATTTTATCACATCTCTACCAGGTTGATGAGTGAGGTCAGTGCTTCTGGAGAAGGCACTGTTTAAGACACAGAATCTTCTGTTTCTCATTAACATTTATGCATCAAGCACCATTTTAGGCACTTGCAAGTACGCTTAGTTCTCAGAGCAAGGCATTTTCCTCTAGTTTTTCAAGCTGGGGAAAAGGCCTCAGAAGGTAACCAGCCCCCGGGTCATGCATCCAGTAAGTGGCAAGCAGCCCCAAGTGCAAGTGCTCCTGCTCTCCGCCCCAAGCCCCTGAACACTGCACCGGTGTGTGTTTTGGAAGGTGGGAGGGAAATTCAAGCGGTTACTGCAGCTATTCTCAGTAAGTTTCAAGTTTCCGGAGAGAAGACTCACACAGCCAGGATGACCTTCCTTCTTTCCTCTCCTGGTGCTCTGGCTTAAGGTTGAGCATCTAGGGGAAAATCCAGGGCAGGGGTAATTAGTTTTAGCTTTCCAGAGCAGAGGGCAAACTGTTCCAGTCCTGAGTACTGCCTATCATGCTTCATTTTATCGGATTCACTGGTACAGCAGTCCGAGTTGAAGAAAAATTGCAGTTGTGGAATATGGCTAGAAATGCCATTGGTCATCAGCTCAAACTAACTTGTTGGCTTGGCCAAAAAGTTCGTATGGTTTTTTTTCCGTAAAATAAAAGACACATGTTTCATTTGCACCAATAACTTTATTGATTTGGATGTTTTGAGTGTGTCGGCTACGTTCCACTATTGGCTTCTGTGGGTAGCGGCCAGGGGTGCTGCTGAACATCTTCCAATGCATAAGGCAGCCCCGCAGCAAAGAGTTATTTGGCCAAAATGTCAATAGTGCCAAGAAACTTCACAAACCACCTTTGACACGTTTGATCAGTCACAGCACCTTCTCCATATGCTGCCCAAGTCTTTTTTTGTGTTTCAGTCGCATTTTTACCTTTCTTGAAATAATAAAGCATCATACACTGAAAATGTTGCCTATTCCATCTTGACTATTAAAATGCAAAGATTCACCAATTTTGATGTTTTCTTTTAATGCACACTGATATGACAGTTGTCACAATACAATCTAACAAAATTGTTTCAAATAAAGTTAAAGACAACTAAGCACTACTAGAGCCACTGTACAGAAAAAAACATAATGGATTTTTTGGCCAACCCAATACATACCCACCAGGTTTGCCTTACAGGACTGATACAACACACCTGTGAGGTGCAATCATGGTATGCATCCCAGCCCTTCCACAGTCAGAGTAATCGGTAGTCATTTGTTTTCCGAGATAGAGTATATGTGTGCCTTTGCTTATACTGCTGATTGGCACAACACGTCCTTTCTTTCTGGGTAATACGAAGGTAAACCTCCAGCCCTACTTGAATTCTTATAATTTCTGAATGAGCAAGTCCAGGTGAATGAGGCTTCACAGTGTACGGTTTACATTATTTCAGACAAACACGCTTGTTGCAATGCTGCTGCCCCTGGTCACATCAGAGCAAGTGAACAAGGGATCTTGTCAGCTGCACCTTCCCAGGTTCCCCTTCTCGTGCCTGACCCCAAAGAGAAAACAAACCAGACCCAGTACACAGCTACCAAATAGTTCTCCGAGCCTCATTCAACATGTGTTCGTGGAACGTGCACCCTTTCCGCAGCCATGAGTGTAAGCTGGGAATGTAAACTTGAGCTCAAAAGCCATTTGATCAACCCGAAGCCATGAGACTGGAAGTACACATAGAGGGGACTGGGGTGCTGTTCTTCATTTCTCCTCCGGATGGCCAAGGCCCCGCCTTGCCCACCCGCCAGTCACTCAGCTCCCACAGAACCTCTGTCTCAACCCAGATCGGCTCAGGGCCAGTGGGTCCGCCGCTGTCTCCGAGTTTGCTTAGGGGGCTCTGCTCTGGGATTGCATCCTGAGCCGAAGAGAAGAGAAACCGGTTAGCCCTAGTGGTGCAGGATCTCCGATGCCGGAGCCAGGCATCGTGGGTTCAAATCACTGCTCTGCCTCTGATTAGTGCAGTGCTGCAATGCCCTCGTGTGAAAACTGGGGATCGTTATGGGACCTGTTTCACAGGGGTGTTGTGAGGTGTGAGTTCACAGAGGTTAGAACAGGGGCCTGGTTCGTGGTGAGCACTATTTGTGTGTATTATTGTTTTCCTTTGTAACAACACAGTTTTATTTTGTGGAATTATGAATTAATATCTGCCTCCCAAACCATACCAACTCTGTGAGGGCAGGGGCCAGGCCAGGTCCTTTTATTCTGACCATTATATTCCCCAGACCCCAGCACGACCTTGCCCCTTAGTGGGTACTCAGTATATACCTGTCAATGCAATGAATGAATGAAATGAGTGGATGCTCTGGCACTTCTGTCATTCTTACTCTGGCACTAAGTTGCCATGTGACCTCCGGCAGGTCATTTCCCCTCTCGTGACCTCAATTCCCTCGTCTAAAAATGAGGGCAGGTAGGACCAGATGGTCAGTCACGCAGGCTCTCCCTTCATTAATGGACCACGGTGTTACAATTCGAGGAAGACGATTCATCATAGCTAACATGATCCGAAAACTCACTTCATGGGTGTTCTAAGTGTTTCACACGTAGGCCCCCCGTTACTCCTGACCCTCAAAGCTCCAAGGTTCGGTGGGGGGAGCCGCACCCTCCTCCAGCAGGGCTCAGAGGAAGCCTGTGGGGGGGGGGCGGCGGGGGGCCCTCAGGCAGAGCCTCAGTGCGGTGAGAGCCGCCTTTCATAGGAAAACAGTTTGTGCTCCGGACTAGGCCACCTTTCACCCCTTGCTGAAGCAGCAGCCCAGTTGGTAAGGGTCAGGGATAAAGGGCTCATTCTTCCCTCTCCAAGTGCAGGAAAGTCAGCCCTTGGTGTGGGGAGTCGTTGCTTAAAATAGAATGGCCTCACATGGTTGCGGGGAGGCCCAGAGTCCGTCACAGCTGGGACGGACCTCGGCCTCAGCCCTGGGCCCGAGCCTTCGACAACTTATGTACACACGCGCGTGCACGCACACACGCGTGGCCGCAACCACACCTCCCTCACCTCTCTCACGGGGTAGGACCTGGTTGGTGACTCGGCTCCCTTTCAACACTAATAGCAATAGCGTGCGATCTGACCCAGAAAATAGGAACTTCCTGTTATGGGCCCTCAACAAAAAGCGCCTTTATTCGGGGCAGAGCTCCGGGGACCCCAAGGTTTGTGCCCGGCGGGCCGAAGGATCCCGCGTGAAACCGGATGTGAAGTGTGAAAGGTGAGGCGGGCGCCACGGGCCGGCCCGGCTGCTGCCCGCGGGCTGAACAGAAGCTCCATTGGAGGCGAGGCAGCGGGCCCTCCAGCCTGTCCTCTCTCAATGGTCTCTTCACCGCGGGGAAAACGAGTCCCTGACTCATTTGCAATTAGCTGACCTAACGGGACAGAATTTTCCGTGCCGGCTTCTGTGCTAACAGAATTGTATTGTCACATTAGAGATATTTTGAGCCAGTCTCATTTCCAGGCAATTACTCTTTTGAGTCTGTGACACAACCCCTGGGCACAGCTGCGTCCAGGGTCCTCGTTTAGGCACAAAAGCCATACTCTCTTGGGCTCTGAGGGTGGGAGCTTCCAACTCGGGACAGTGACGTTTTACCTACACCAGCCAAGCCAGGGAGGGCTGACGGAAGCAGCAAGTTGGGGCCTGGTCAGAATTGCAAGGACCCCGTGGCCCTGGGCGGGTGGCTCAGCTGGGTGGAGTGTCGTTCCCTATGCCAAAAGTTTGAGGGTTCGATTCCCAGTCAGGCCATGTACCCAGGTTGCGGTCGATGCTCAGTCAGGGCGTGTGCAGGAGGCAGCTGATGGATCCCTCTCTTTCTCTCTCTCTCAAAAAGAAAATAAGAATGATGAACCATGTCCTTAGGTGAGGATTAAAAATAAAAAGGCCTGTGGTGGTAGGGGAGGAGGGAGCTGAAGGGAAAGGTGACGGAGAGGCTCCCTCTCCCATGCGACCCAGAGGCGGGCCAGGCAGACTGCAGTGGGGAAACGCGCCGTGCCAGGCCTGGGTTTCCACGCCAGCTCTGCCACCAGCTTGCAGTGTGACTTTGGGAATATGGTGGCGAACATGAGAATGCCCCACCAGGAGCTTACGAAAGAGACGGTTTCCAAGAAGAAGGGTAGCATTCTGACCGGAGCAGCCGAGGGTGGAGCATGGAGCTTCTTGAGACAGGATGTCCAGGAACGTCCACCTGAGGAGGTGGCATTTGAGCTAAGATCTGAAGAGTGATAAACAGGCCAGCCTGCACGGGGCCTGGGGGTGGTGGGTAGGGTGGTAAAGCAGTATCCAGGGTGGAGGAAATGATAGGACAGAATTCCCCGAGATGGAACCAGCTTGGCATGCCGCCGGGCCAGAGAGGGCGCTGGGGAGAGCACCTCGAGGCGAGGTGACGTGCGTCCAGGGGGCTTACTTGAGAGAGAATATCAAGAGGCGAAAGCAACTCTTTGAGAAAATTAAAAGACTGTTTTGTAATATTCCTCCACATCAGGTGTTTACTACCTGGGACCTTGCTTTCTTGAGCAGGGCCCAGTCTCACCGTGGCCCTTCTGGGACGCAGAGAGGGTCCCAGGCTGGCTAGCACTGCACAGCTCAGGCCCGAGTCCAACGTGGCTGCCACACCGACAGCGTCCTGTGGCTTCGCCCAGCGGGTACCTGGGTGTGCTTAGTGTTTCTGATCTGACTGGGGATTATGAAAGCCTTGGTGTGCTGTCAGTAGTCACCCTGGCAACAGCCCTTGGTGCCTTCTCCTGTAAGTTCCCAGACACCACCTACACCCTCCTCCCTCTTTCCTACCTATTCTTTGACTGCAAAGTGGCTGCACTTTGCTACGCAGGGCACGCTGTCCTCGGTAGGACAGGCTCTCTCTACTAGAAGCTGCATCGGTCCTTCCCGACCCGTGAATCGCTGGTGTTCTTCCCATGGATCGGGTCGAACAGCCTCTCCCCCCGCTTCCCTCGGGCTCCCACTCAAAAGAGGCAGAACCGTTTCCTTTGGCTCCCTCGACTGCGAGCAGCAGCCATTGTTGTCATAACCTCTTCTCCGGCTGTCTGGGCTTCAGCCTGTCTGTCTCCCTCACAGGAGGCAGCCTCCCACCTAATCCCTCGGGACTCCACTCTCCAACTGTCAGGGAAGACAGATGGGGAGCAGAAGAATTCACGCATTCACACACACTCTCTCTCCCCTACCCGTGGTCCTCGCCATCCTTGGTGCCTGGCTCCTGTCCTTGGTGGGGTGGCCCTTAGCACAGCAAGGAAATCTTTGTGTGTGGACTGGCCAGCAAGCCGGGAGCCTCCCAGCTCCTCCCCTGTCTCCCCTCTAATTGTACTGAAGGTCTTATTTGCATAGCTGTCTTGGGAACTGAAAAAAAAATGCAAAGAAGCAGGCCTTCACAGGCACTTTTCTTATCTCTAATTCTTTCTAGAACTTCTTCCCCTCTTGGAGCTAGCAACACCTGCTTCCCTGACCTGCACAAAAGCCCACATCCCCTCCCCTCTCAGTGGGCTTATCTTGACTCCTTCCACATCCACACGCCCCAAGCCCAGTAATTTGCCATTTCCTGCTTAAATATCTTCCAGGACTCCCGTGAATATGAACCAAAATGATAGATGTTCTTCAAATGACAGAATAACCTTTTGAAGCTGTTCACTTGCTTCTTCTTCAAAAGCCTGCGTTTAGGCTGCAGTTCGCAATTGAATTCCACTGTAAATGCTATTTTTAATGATATCATTGTGTTTTAATTGGCAGTACTGTTCTCTTGGGTTGATGGAGTAGGACCTATCACATCACCATAACTAACGAGAAAACAACCATCCATCCATACCTACCTGGCATGTCCTCGTGTTCTCACTCTCTCGCTCTCTCCCAGTCTCTCTCTCATGCGCACACTCTCTCCTGTGGCACTCCTGGATGCCCAGAAGAGCCATTCCTCCTTTGGGGTTTGACTTCCCAGGACATTCTGGATTAAGGCACAGAGTCCGTGTTACCGGCTGAGTGCACACCAGCCCGACTCTGGCTCAGAAGCCCTTGCTTGGCGTTTCCCCTGCTGGATATTCCGTAGACCAGGTTCAGCCTCTCAGAAGTTCACTGACTTCCCTCCCATCGAGTTTCACTAATAGCCTCTTAAGAATTGCAACTTGAGACAAACCGTGAACGTGACTGATATTGCGTATGTGTAACTTCAAGCTAATTCTAACTTTGTGGAATTTCTTTCCCCTCAACAAGTACCCTTTTAATAGCCCCACTTCCCGGATGGAACCCTGTTTGATGAGCAGTACTCCCAGGCTGCATCCTACCCCCGTCACCCCCCGATGGCCAGAGGTGCCCACGGCCAACACGTGCTACACAAGCCCGTCCGTGCACTCCACGAGGTATGGAAACTCTAGTGACATGTACACACCCCTGACCACGCGCAGGAATTCCGAGTATGAGCACATGCAACACTTTCCCGGCTTTGCGTACATCAACGGAGAGGCTTCCACAGGATGGGCTAAGTGACTGCTCTCATAGGAATCCGTATTTAATATTAATAAGTATTAATAATAATAATAAACCCATCTCCCCTCGAAGATCTTATCTCTATACATTGTAACGTGTGAACCATTCCTAGGCGTCCATTTTCCTCGCGAACAAGAGGCTGGGATTCAGTGTGGCATGAACAAACTTTAGTTCAGAAACAGGACTCACTCGGCGTCAGTGAGATGGGGGTCCCGCAGCCAAGCCAGACTTGACTTCCTACAGAGCACTATCCTGGGCAGGCCAGTCCGTGCCTTTTCCCTTTGTTCCATGACCACTTGCTTTGTGTTGGCGACCACTCCCTGTAAGTTACTTATTTTCCTGTTGACAAAAGCTCTTTAGTCTTTAAGGATGGATACTGGAGACAGAATCTGGTTTGTGTTCTTGGACGGGCACATAATTGACCAAGAGCATGCACCTTGCATCTGTCACCTTCCTGTACAACGAACAGCCCTCAGCTGTGTTCTGCACGCCCCCTCTTCCTGGTGGCACTTCGCGGGGCACCAGGGCTGAATGGAGGTGTCTGGAAACGCGAGATTCCCTGTTACGCTCCTGTCCGTCGCAGTGCCTAACCCGTTTTGGAATGTAAGCACTGTCTGGAGGGAAAGAAGAGGCCTGTTCTGTATGCCTTAAGTTGGTTGAAGTTTGTAGGGGACCAGCTCTTCTACACACAAGTATTTGTCCTAAGTTTGCACAATGGCTAGTGTCAGCAGAAGGCAGGGGAGGGGTTCTTTACCGTTCTGTGAGAATGTAGACATACAGCGTTGAGTGCCACACTCTGCTGTGTTAACGTTGTGAAACTGGATGGACCAAGCTTCAAAGTGTGAAAACGACTTTCACAGTTCCTTCATAAGACTATAATAATTTCCGACACTTTGATAGAAAAAAAATATTTCAAAGCTGTGCCTTTGAGCCTATACTATACTGTGTATGTGTGGAAATAAAAATGTATTGTACTTTTGGAAAATTTTTTCTTAGGCATTTTTCTGTCAGATTTGTAGCAATTTGTGAGGTTTGTTAGAGCTTAACATAGGTTTTCTTTCTGTATTATAAAAAGCACCAAGCAATTATGGTGGACCTATTACCCTATGGGTAAGAAATAAATAGAAATATGACATCGGATGTTTTAGCAATTGTTCTGTAAATAAAATCTTTGATCACACCCACTCAGTGTGATAATCATGTCTACGGCTAAAATGGAAATAGTTTTATCTGTACAGTTGTGCAAGATATGAATGGTTTCACACTCAAATAAAAAGTATTGAAATGACCAGCTTCTTCATTTTGCGTCTGACGTGACCTCTGTCTGTGTGGGTAATACAGACACCACTCCGGATGCTTAGGGTGTAAGCAGGTGAAACAGAACTAAGTGGTGCTGTATGGTGGTGCTTTATCCAGGTCAGCACCATCTTGTCATGAAACCAGCAGCAGGATTCGGACAGGCCCCACGTGCCGTCCTCGGCAGCAGGTCAGCACCTGCAGCCTGGCTGAGGGCTGCAGGGGAGACCAGCTCTGCACACGAGGACTGAAGTTTGCACGACGACTGACGCCAGCGAAGGGCAGGGCCCTTTCAGCTCTCGAAGGGAATGTTGCTCTTCGACGCCAGCGTCATTAAGGGGTCCCCCGGTCCTCGGTTCAATATGCTTTAATGATCACTGCGTGTAAAGACATTTCAAGTGCAGCGCTTTAAATGCTAATAAACTTCTGGGACAGCACAAGTAACAGTGCTGAATACTTAATAAGCATCAACGAATTCTTCTCCAGCACTGCATTTTGATTCAAGGGCTGAGGACTGAGGGTATAAAGGCAGCATGTTTCAATGTTTTGCCCAAACTTTAAGAGTTTGGGAGCTATGAGAGAGAGTCAGAGCCAAAGAGTTCCAGAAATGGCAGTAGTGATATGTTAACTAAAAGGCACGAGAATTTGACAACTCAATTTGCTGCATTTTGAAAGATTTATTTTTAAAACCAAGCTCTTACTTGCTGTTACATAACATACTTACACCTGAAAGTGGTTTTAAGATGAAAATGATATATTTTACATAGCATCCCCTTAAAAATTGAGCTACACTGATCTGCCAAAAGAAAGTGGGTGCTGGGTTTCACACTCTGAAGGTAAATTATTTGGTCTTTTGGCCATGATCCACGAGTTGGCTTTCTACGAGGAAAGGACGGGAGAGTGAAATTTCAGATTCGGTCACTGCACAGAGCAGACCCGAGGACAAGCAGGCGTCTCGTGCTGCAGCAGTCCAAAGCTAGCGCTCCAGAAATGAAGGGGTGGAGTGAGTTTGACTTTTGCCTTACTAATCACAAAAAAATAAAGCCATTGCCAAATTCCCTAGTCAGGTAGCAGCAGTACATAATAACACCCATATACAAGTAACAGCCAAAAGCTCACTGAAGGCACAGATCTTTATGCAAAAACAGTCCCAATCAACAAGGGCCTGAATCCCAGAGTCTGAAGTGCTCACTCCAAGAACTTGGCAGGGGAGACGACGTGTGCCCCCTCCTCCCACCCGGCCAAGAGCTGGGAGCCTCCGGGCACTCTCTCCAGAGCACAAGGGACCCATGTCTTGGGAGGTGAGTGTACTGCCGATGCTCCCAAACGTTCTCCACCTTCAACTTCAGAGCCGAGAAGGATCTGATTAGGAAAAGACAACAGCTGCTGGGAGCTCCCTGCCTCAGACGCACCTTCTCTCCCTCTCCGATGGCTCCTACCCCGTCACCAGAATGGGAACGGGCAAGGTTGGCAGCTGGGAGTGGGGCCAGTCACTTGTCAGAGGAAGAACAGAAAAGTCTTGGCAATAAAGGGACACTTCCCTCTTTAGGACTCTTTCTGAAAAGGACTCTGCCAGCTTGAAGCTGGCTGGAGTCATGAACAGCAGCCAGGATGGCTCACCCACGTTGCAGGCCTGTGGCGTCCTAGGCATCCAGCCTGCTGTGTCCTTTGTCAGGCCTCTAGGATACCCCAGGTCTGAAAAGAAAGGGAATCTGCGGCCCCTCTGAGACAGCAACCCAGTCACAGGCCAATCAAAACAGTGCCATTGGGTATGCCCAACCTAAATGGGGAGAGGGGCTCAAATCGTGGAAAGAGAACTGAAAGGAAGCCTTGGCTTCACCACCACGTGACCTTGGGAGGGTCACCTCCCCTGCTCTGGACCTCAAGCAGGCATGTTATATGACTATGACATCCCAATTATAGTTGGTGTGCTGATGGCCCTGGGCCGGCAGATCCGGGTGAGGAGGGTGGATGGCTTAAGGAAAACAAAGGACGGACTGGCAGCTGGGCAGTGATTCAGGAAGACAGCCACAAGAGGGAAGGCGACGGCTCCACCAGCTGGCGCCCCAAACAGCCTGAGGTTCGTGCCCATGAGCTCGGCCCATATACCCGCACCACCATCACCGAGCAACATTCCGCCCACTTCCTCGTGCCCAGCCCCACCCACTCCCACACAGATCTGGGTAGTAGTCTTCTGATATTTTCCCCGTCTTTCCAGATTTGTCCCTAGTATTTGCTTTAAAGTAATGTTAATCAAAATGTCTCATGTGAACCTGGAGGAGAGCAAAAACAGGCTATTTGCCCCAGCTTCTTGCATTTCTTAAAGGAAGGATAGCAACATTTTTTTTTAACCCTGGAAGGGGATAGTAAAAATACTCCCGTTATTGCAGGGGAAAGGGTGTGGGGCTGGGTTACTGTAGGTTTCCTGAGGCATAGCGTTCAGACTTACTCAAGAACCTAAAGAATGCAAATCATTACTGGAAGCTTAAGAGAAAAAGAAAAGGATAGATGTACTGCCTTTAACACATGGTAGAATCGAGGTTCATTCCTAGTTCCGCCAGAGATGTTTTAGAAGGGGCACTCCTGCTCCAGGGAGGATTGGACTTCAGTGGTTGGTTCTCAGCCCTGGCTGCCTGTCAGCATTACGTTACCCACTTTTTGAACTACTGATGCATACGGTCCCACCCCCAGTAAATAACTGACCTGGAATAGGACCCAGGGCATCAGATTGGTTAAGCTCCCCAGGTGATTCTAATACGCAGCCAAAACTGAGAAACACGAACCCTTGCACCTTGAAGTAGTACTAAGATCCAGAGATGGCTATTCCCTGCCCTTGCACTTCAGGGTTTGTTTTTTTTTTTTTTTTTACTTTTTTAAATTTTATTTTAATCATTGTTCAAGTTCAGGGTTTTTTTTTTAACAGGGTTCCAGTCTGTCCAGAGTGGAGAAGAGTGGCAATCCCCAATAACCTACACCAGTGATTTGCAACTGGTGCGCCACAGGAGTTTTTAAAACACGCAACACCTGACTACCCAGGGGCACTGACCCCTTTTCCCTTAGATTGTCAAAAACAAAACAAAACAACCCCAGCCAACACAACAGCCACCGGTGTGAATGAATCATAATTATACCTATTTTTGTCAGCGCAACAGAAAATATATTTTTCTGACGTTCCGTAGAATTTTAGTAATTGATCCATGTGCCCCATGAGATGAAAACGGCTGCAGATCGCTGACCTGCGCTGCTGACAGTGTCCCTGCAGCCGACGACCTCTCCCTGCCGGCACGGTGTTGCCGGCCTTTCAGGCCAGCCCACCTCCCTGCCACTGTCTAACCTGGCCCTTCTCTCCTTCAGTGCCTTGGAAGTCTCCCAAACTAAGCCAGCTTGGACACAGCCCTTGTGGTTTCCTCTTCTTCGGAGGAGGTCAGAACCTTTTGTGCTTCGTCAGCCTCCTCCCTGAAGCTCTCTCCCCGTTCCTCTGCCTGCACCTCAATCCCCCCCCCCACCACCTTCTCACCCCCATATTTTGCTGCTGCTGGTGTAGGTGGGACGGAAGACGTGGGCCCCAAGAGTTGAGAAAAGAGCTGTTGCTAGGAAAGGGGTGTGGGTGAAGAGAGGGGGTGGTGGGAGAAGTAGGGCTCCCCGGTTTGATTCCTCCCTTTGTCATCAGAAATGCCTCAGGAGCTAAAACCAGTTGTTTAAGAACTATTATGAAAACCCATGAGGTCCGACCGGGGCAGCAGGGGCGAGAGAAGCAGCTCAGAGACAGCTGCAGTGCTAATATTCGGTATTTATATTAGTCCCCTGACAGCCGGGAAAGAGTGAATTCCCAGGGAACTGCCAAGCTGTGCCCCCGCCAGGAATGGCATCCAGGACCTCCTGGCTCGTGCTACACCTTTCAAGGAGGATAAACTGCAAACATGTCTTCCCAAGAACTGGAGTGCAGCCAAAGCCGAGAATCTTTAAATGGGGAGAACCAGACACACTTCCCCCTCCTCACTCTCGGCGACGTCGGTGTGGCACCTTTCTGAACCAGATCTGCCTGAGGCCGCAGAGGCTCCACTTCTCGGGGTCAGCTATGCACCCGCACATCAGAGACATCGTCTCCACTTCTCCCAACCTCCTGGCGCCCCCCCCCCGCCCCCCCACCCCGGGAGTGGTATCATCGTTTCCGCTTACAGGTGCAGGAATGCAGGCTCGGAGCAGTTTAGTGCTTTGCCCAGAGGCACACGGGAAGTGGGAGGAGAGCTGGGGCCTGAGGAAAAGCTTCACTGCTCCAGAGTCGGTGTCCTTCGTGCGACAGCACGCTGCCTCCTTCCTATGTTTGCTTCCACCCACCCCGCCCCCGTTCCTCTCTCCTAATCGGCTTGGCAGTTTTTAAATCAATCTTGACCATGGTCGTAAGGACCTACTGGGGCTGAAGAATTTCCCAAGTTCTGGGAAATTCCGATGTAGCGAATGAAGACTGTTCCCAAGCTGGGCACCAGGCCGTCCCCCCACGCGCGAGGTGGCGCGCCGCTCGCTGTAAGCTAACAGCAGACTAGCTCTCCCTCTATCATTCCCCAGGGTACCTACAAACCATTATCGAGGATCAAGATTTGGTCATTCCGTAGAGAAACAGGAACAAAAGAAAATCAATAATAATGGGGAAAAAAACCAAAACAGGCCACAGGAGGATTTTTATTACCAGGTCGATAAAAAGCTCTGCAGGGGAGGTGCAATGAGCCAAGTATTCACTAGAATGAAGTCATTTGAGGGGGGTGGGTGCGGGGTACTGGCTACCTCTTGCTGTTCAGGTCACTACCCTTTGACAGCGGTGGCCTCTGACCTCAACAGGCCTACAATTCTGTTTCGACTGACCCTGAAACCCATGAAATTCAGATGTAGGCACTGCCCAAAAGTTGAGATAAAGCTGACTAATATGGGAAAAGCTCCCGGTAT